GGTGGGGCGGGTGTAGGAGCAGCTGGGGCCACGGTAAATGTCCACGTCGGGAACAGAGTCGGTGGCTTCACGGTGGGGCTCGTTGTGGGAGTTCCAGTGGCGACTGGAAGGGTAGCAACAACTGCTTCCTCAATCACGGACTTCGTCTCTTTCTCTGGGACCGTGGCGGGTACCGGAGGTGACGTGGGAAGGGTCTTTTTGTTCGTATTCTTTTTTGGGGCATTGCGGTCTCTCAATTTCTTCTGATTTTCTTTGTTTGAAGTTGCACCTGAATCCGTGCTGGCCTCGGCAACGTTAGTGGGAAGGACCTTTTTATTTGTGTTCTTCTTTGGAGTGTTGCGGTCTCTCAATTCCTTTTGGGTCGTTTTTTTGGGAACTTCACCGGTACCAGTGCTTGCCTCGGCAATGTTGTCATTGAATCCCTTTTTGGGTCTCAGCTCGTCGTTCTTGGTTTCTCTCTTGAGAAACCTTTCGTGGTCACTGATGCTGATGCTGATGCTGCGTGTATTGCGGCCTCGTGCTCCTCGAATGCGTCGTCCACCGCTGCTGTTTGTTCCACGGAGAGAAGAGGATGATGATACTGTTGTATCACGGGTTCTGCTTGCTGATGCTGCAGAAATTAGAAGGGCTGATGCAAGTAGTTGGACAGATCTCATATTTTTGGATTGTCTGTTGCTATTTTTGTTCGATTGGTCTTAAACTCTTGGTTCTTCGTGATGTGTTTCCAACCAAATGTTKYTWTGTTGATTGCCAGAACACCAATAAAGTRCGTTACTGATTAGATTGSTATTGGCGCCTGATCTATTGTCTGACTATGCATGCAAGATCRGTTAATAGGGTAGAGGAGCAATGACTWTSTTCTTCTGCGCAACTATCGAAAGGAAGAATGCCCTCTCGKTSAAATCCTGCAAGGTGGCCAGGATTGAATTGAAATTTAAAGTAYTTTCTAYACGATMGATTTATTCGCTTGTGCCTTGCTTGTCTTTTTGTTGGACAAACGTAGCTGAACTCCAATTCGCACATTTGCTTCCACGACAAGAAGACTTCGGTTTGCCACCAAGCGTTGTGTTGTATACTGTTTGCAAGATACAAGTGTTCCAAATTTTAGTAGGTGCGTTCTTCGTTTCCCAGCAAGCACCAATCGCGTGCGCCGGGCTCTATGTGCACTATGGATTCCTCTTGTATGTGGCACGGCACGGGGTGCGCCAAAATCCATAGTGCGGTGATCGATAATGCGGTCATTGCCATTTTGTTACCGATAACAGCGATATTGGTTCCGAGTGTGCTGGATAGATGAATCGCTGATACAGGCTATGCGCTTCGCCCGGCTTGTGTGGTGGGATTCCCAAAGAATAAGCCTTCGAAACGCGACCACRCATGGTCATAGCATCAGCGATGACCRCGTCGGTTTTGATTGGCATTCTTTCATTTAACCCCGAATAATTACATACGTACAATATATAGTACGAACATTCTTGAAATCTATGACGAGTAACCGACCTCCTAACGGTACGTACGTATGTCCGCAGTTGCGAACAGGCAGTCGATACAAGTACGTACCATTGTACCTATTGCAGGGTACGTAGTTGCACTCGTACGAGTTCCTATCAGTAAGATGTTCCGATGTTGTTGCGTTGTGTGGTAGAAGTACGACTTATTTACGTACATACTGCAAGACTTCTCGACTGACCCGCTCGATGCACAATCATAATTGAAACCCGTCTCCGGGAGTTTTGAAATTCAAAATTGACGCCTGCCAGCATTTTTGTGGAGTGTGCCCAGAGCAAAACGAAACTACCATAAAAAAAATTCTTTAATTACAGTATCGTATCGTATCGTATCGTATCGTATCGTACTTGTAATGCATTTAAGTTCTCCATCATCCGTGATCAGCACAGTGGCACTCTTAATGTACATGTCCAACGATTCTTTATTTACTAGTAGTACAATTGATTCGTATTGGTTAAACGCAACCAGACGCAAAACAAGATAGGAGAAAACAACGCACTCCCCAACCGATCCATTCTTGTATCGAACGAATTCATCGCCCCAACCTTGCTAAACATCCCAACGAGTCACCCGTTGAACGCATTACATCACGACAATTACTTATATTAATTTCTATCTTGCTACACCGCATACGCAGCAATACAAACTACCTGGTACTGCTACCACAAATAATACGAACGGAAATCGAACAAAGATCATGACTGCCCCAACAAGGACGAGAATGTCCCTTTCGGCCGTTGCCACGGTTGCCTGCCTGTGGTTTTTCGCGGTCGTCGTCGAAGCGGGAATTGCGACAATGGGCTTGCAAAGAGACAAAATGCCAGTCGGCATCGACGACGTTCTCCATTCCTTTGAGCGTGCCCGGAAGTTGCAGGAAGTAGAAATGCAAGAATTTCTTGTCGACCAGGGAGAAAAGGAGGAGGACCACATGCACGAGCATGACCACGAACACGAAGGTTTAGAAGAAGGTGACCACGAACATGACCAGAGCGAGATCGTTTCCATCCAGTTGGATGGTCTCTTTGCAGCGACGCCAGACGTCAATGCCGTGGTTGAACAAATGGATGRCAACGCTACAACGACGGAATCGAACACAACATTTGTGGATGCCAATATTACAACGGCAGACGATGGGGATCTAGAAGCAGATGGTTCTGACTTTTTTGAAGTCAACGAAGAAATGGAAATCCTGGACGAGGCTAACCAACAGATCGCCTTGGAGACTGTTGTCACCGAGGCCCGGCTMGACGACGAAGCTGCCAGCAGCATTGTGGTCGGAACCATTACTACTGGACCGCGGGGCGGACGAGAAGACGCCGCACCAAATCTCGAACCCACGGAAATTTCGTTCATGATTGTAAGAGAATCATCACATTGCGTTCCATCACTCCTTTGCTGGATTGCTGTTTGTATGGTGTTGGTATGATATACGGTATTTTCCTTCGATGTCAACGAGGTTGCTTGAACTGTTGAATTAATTCTTCATTTGTCGATCTTTTTTGGTTGTTGCGATGTACTTGTATTAGTCTCCYACTTGCTCACTCATTTGATCCAMATTTTTGCACTGAACTATGCAAACAGATGATGGAAGAATTTCGATACTCGAACGGCGCCGAAACCMTCGAGCAGATTTCCATCGGCACCAAGTTCGGCTTCTCYGGAAGGATCGTCACCAAGGCGGAAGAACTGGGCGTAGCCAGTGGAACCTGTACTGTCACCAGTGACATCAAAAAAGAACTGAGCTACTGCGAGATCTACCACAAGATCGAGACAGACAACTTTGGTGGTTATGGCTCTGTCATGGTTGCTGGGACCGCCGACGAAGTGGGTGGGCGTTTCTTGGTCACTGGAACCGGAGGGTCTCTCCAGTCGACCAACCAGGGATATGCTATGTTTCAGTTCGATCCGGCGGGAAACCCGGTGGTATACGTGTTGCTAAAACTTTTTTGATGGATGCTTCGGCAATACAATATCGTTTATACTTTTGTGTTTCTTGGTGGAATCAGTTACAGACCATAGTCGATAGATCAAAGGATTGATAGGTGGATGAAAGAATTAATGACTTCAGTGGATATTCGAATAATCGATCAACCGATTGATGTCTGCTTATGCCATGGAACAAACCACATCAATGACAAATCTTTCCGACGCGAAACCGTAGACGAATCGAGGGGAGGCATAGGCACACAATGTAACGCATCGTATTCTTTGAATAAGTCATTCCACGACACTAGTGACGCGCAAGCATGCGGACAGCAGCTTGTCAAAAACGTGGGGTGCATTTGCGTTGGGTTATGGAGGAGGTGAAAAGTCACTACAAGATTGCGTTTTGTTGCGGTATAGTACTGTATGTTTATTGGCACCAAAATCTATTGTGTAAATACTGAATAATAGTAAATAATATAATTATTCATTCATTACATAGAACAATATCACTCGCACCAATGATGCACGTGATGTTTCATCGGAGGCCTGTACTGCTACTGCAAGTATTCATAGTTGGGGAATTATTTTCAAGTACCTCTGAAGGAGAGTTACTGATGTGGGTTGTAAATTGAAGTAACAGTACTTGGTTATAAGGTCATCAAAGACAATGTGATAGTAGAAGTAGGTGGCAATGCCCAAGCAGTGGTTCCTTGCAATTTTGGAGATGAAGGCTGAAATTGGGAACTGCTACTACTATCTGTAGTATTGGTGACAGCCACTAATCATAGTAGTAGTTCTGTACTTGTTGGGTCCAAAAACAATCAATTTTGTTGCAAGGCTGTTTGGTCTTCACAACTGGGAGGTACCACCACCAGTACTTCTTTGGAAATATGTCAATGCTCCTTGAGACAATCATTTTCTTCTGTTGAGCACTTCTTGTGGAGGATGAGGAGGAGAGGAGAGGAGGAGATGATACTGGAAGGATGGATAGGAGAACACCAAAAATTGCACTTCAAAGACATGCTGAATCTCCCTTTGTAATTGTCCTTAATTCTGGTCAGGATTGGTTGCTTGTTGTTCTTGGTATGTTATTCTTTCTCCTTGTCGGATCTTCTCCTGCAGAGGAGAGGAAGGACTTCCTGTTGTTGTTGGAACCACCAACAAGAAATTACTATTGCTAGTACTAGTAGTAGTAGTACTGCTATTCTTCTTGTCTGTGTATTTGTACTGTGGTGTTTGCTGCTGAGAAACTATTTTTTGGGTGCAGAGGAGTCACAGATTCCATCKAAGAAGTCAGTGCAATAAAGCCSAGAAGGTGGTTTGCATGCTGGGGGAAGGGGGGGGGTCCACTATCTGGATCTTTTGTTTATCAGGACAGACTGAGCCCAAAATGTACGTGTGCTCTTTAGTGCCATATAACTACGTGTTTACAATAAAGAGTGAGCTTATTCACTATCTACTCGTGATTTAGGCTCACACTGGGACCCAAATTCTGGATCACGAGTATTCAAGGAATGACCCATTGGGTCATCCCCAATACCTGGCAATTGTCATTGAATGACCATAAACGAACTTTTCTCCTAGTRATACTTGAATAAACCCGGTGGTACGAAATACGTAGGCAAACAAAGCAAACGGCTTCTAGAAAATAGCTTATTTTTCCTAGTCTCAGAATCGCATGCGATTTACGCGACTATAMAGCCTGCAGAGCTGCAACGGACCTACCTGCCACTCAACAACTGAAATTGTGACTAAAAACCAGTAATACTATCCTAATCACACAGAATTTTAGGCGACACGACAATTCGTTGTTCACAAATCGAAAACAGAACGTCAAAACGCAATTGCAATTAATCATCCTTTCTTTCAGCAAAAAAATCTCCCTTCTTCAAAAAAGGACGATGCGAAACTTTTATTGTACCGCAGAACAACGAAGATGAAGAGCTTCCGCACCAAAGTAGCAGTGGGCTTTGGCATTGCTGCCATAATAACTATAGCCGATGCCTCCACCATTCTCGGAGGCAATATGCGCATTCTCAAAATCGGCAAGAAAGACAGCAAGAAAGACAGCAAGAAAGATAGCAATTATTATTCCCCTTCGATGCCTCGCACGAAGTATCCAACGATGTCGCCGATGACTTCCGACAAGTCGCCGAAGAAGACTTCCAAAAAGTCTCCAAAGAAGGCTGCCAAGGATAGCAAGAAGTACAATCGATCACCTGCCCCAACCACCCAACCTCCTGGAACTCCACCTACCTCAGCTCCYGAGACTCCGCCTATCCCAGCTCCTGGAACTCCCCCTACCACCCYCCCTACCTCTACCCCTTCGTCTGATCCGACATCAGAGCCAACGGCAGCTTCTTCCATTAGTCCTACCGAGGCTACATCGATAAGATCTACATAGGGTTCAACCAAAAATGTTGTTCCGACATGACGACCATTCCACCAAAAAATTACCTGCTMCATGCTGAAACATATAGTCTGTGGTGTGTCCCATTTCGGGAACTAAGGACTCCAAGCAGGTCGAGTCGCAGATTTGAGGAGTAGACTCACTAGATTACGCAATTTGATGACTTGAACGTTCAAGATAAGAGCCTTAGTATACCATAAATATATTACATCAACCAGCACAATTGCAACAATCGCAATAATCAAACCACCGTCCTCAATCAATGATTGTGTGACAAATTCCATACTAGCGCGCCGCATCTTTCRTTCATATAAGATCAGAAAGAGGGGGAAGATTAGCGTGGTTGGATTGCCTGAAAAGAATTCAGCATCCACTCTGTGGGGTCAACGACCTTCATAGCAAAGCTCTTCCATAGTACCTTGCACTGCTTATTCTTACTGGGGGATTGTTGTGTCGTCATATTAGAGAAACTCAGCCAGTCCCATGAACATCTACAATGTTTTGAAGGGTCTACTACAGGACCATAGAGTTGCAGCTGGCTCTTCTATTGCCGATGTGCAGAGATATTGATAGTACCTCATAAGCGACGGTAAAAAATACTGATGCTCTTTAATGCCGTTTTTACGTCTTCGCAATCAAGAGTGAGGGTGAAAATGTCACTATTCACTCGTGATTTAGGTGAGTTGTGAGTGTTCGGCTGATGAAGCGGAGGAGTTCTTCAACCTTTTTTGAACGGAAATAATTTTGTTGCCTCATTCCGTTCTCCCCTAACGTCAGAATTTAGTCGGTAACAATTGTTTCTTCGGAATGTTTCGTCTCGCATCTCAATGAAGGAATTATTTCTAGTGACGAAGGGCACTAAATAAAATTATATATAGCAAGTTGGAATTTGATACCTATATATCCTTGCGCACTTATCAGTAATGAATGACCMCAAATGACCCCAAATTTAGGGTTTCAATCGGTTCCTGCTTAAGCTCGTCCACGTGCCTTCTAGTTTGAATCCCGTTCAGCTCCTTAAAGGCACTTTTCTGTTCTTTGGTGCGTGACATGATCGATCCAGTCGTCCCAACCGAAAGCGATATCTGACAATTTTGTTTTTTTACGCTTGCGTAGTACAGTACTACTTCAATACGGTAGGATAGGGGGCATTGTGCTCCCGCGAACATTTCAACAAATCGTTCGAAGAACCGTGTTTAGGTGGCGCCCCCAAAATTTGGCAAAAACCGTTGCGAAAAAGTCGACCTCCGAGCTCCTTCAAAAGATTCAGWTGTAAAATTTACTCGAATCGACAGCCATCCCTGACAACCTTTCACCAASATTGATAGGTCATAATATTTCAGCGAAAGCACAAAATCAAGTGAGCAAACAACCGAACAACTCCRTTTCGATACCAAAACAGCAACAATGAAGTTTCTTTCCCAAACCATCTTGGCAGTTACCCTTGGTTTTGCCGCCACTGCTGCAGCCCAAGAATACGACGGTTTTCGTGGTCTCAAGAAAGACAAAKCCGAAAAGTCTGCRAAGAAAACGGTGGCTCCTGTACCCGCCCCTATCCCGGTACCCACGGCACCGCCTGGTACCCCCTCCCCCACAGTGAAGGTCATCAAGAAGGGMAAATCCRGCAAGAACACMAAGAAGAGCAAGAAGGGMAAGGGTGAAACCCCCACGACTGCACCTACCCCCGTCCCTGCCCCTCCTACGGATTCTCCCACCAAGAWSCCCACCATGGCTCCCACAAAATCCCCWACAAGGAGTCCTACGGCGGCGCCTTCCGAGCTTTCTACCGTTGCCACCACCGTAACTTCGACMGTAACTACGTCGAATCTTGGGAGCGGAAGCATTACGGCATAAGAAGGACGAGTAGATATCACTGGAACCAACGCGGCCGCAACACGACAAACAAATCTACAGTCGCTCGATGGCGAATAGTAGGAAGATAGCACCATGCCATCCCRCTCTCGCAGTCGTTGGGCGAACGGTGATGGTAGGTGCGCGGTCCGACACTGTACAATAGTAATAAAACACATTTTGTGTATCCTTWAAGAAAAAAGATTGCAAGACGAAATCGACTAACACAAGACTAAAATTAAGTTTATTATTCGATCRTGGTTTGTCGGATCGCTTTCTGGCCACTATCGCCCGTCCCTTCATTYAGAGGAAGCAGACGATACCATCCGAAAATGCCTCTGTTGGGCATCTTCGTGCGAGCTGTTTGCAACTGCACAGGAAGCCTGGATATTACACGATTTTCCCCCCTTCGTGGCATGGACCGATGGAGGAGCAATTGGTACACTACTATTCTTTCCGGGAAGTTTTGCACCGACCGTATAGGTGAGCGCAATCCATCTGTTATTGCAATCCGAAGTGATACATACGGTGGAAAGCGATCAATCCATCAGTTTTTTCGTAATAGGTGTGTTCGGTAGTCATGTGATAGCTTCTGCGACAAGTTTCTGCTTTCGGATCGGAAGCTCTGGACCTTAGCAGTCGATTATGTTTTTGTTTCACGCTATCATTTCGATTGCCATCACTTCACAACAGAGAGAGAGAGACGACGACGACGACGCCGTTCTGGAATTTTCTTTCATAATAATAAGTGGATGTAGTACACTATCGTTAGGTACGGTACTCTTTGTAAGATACCAACAAAATGCCTTCCGAGGCTGTTCTAGGAGTTTGATTTTTTTTCTTCCTTCGAAGAACGAATTACTACGTACGAGTACTTACTGTGAGGCAGTTCCTTCGAAGTAATTTTTATCAATAAGTACCAGGTACCCGTAATGATTCAATTATGAATCCTGGCCTTTCAATCATGACTTCCTTCCAAGTAATCTTTATCAATAAGTACGTACCCGTAATGGTTACATACCGCAACCGTACGTTTATCCTAATATGTATGTGTTTTTTGGATGCAAAATTGAAAATTTCTGTTGCCTGCCGTTGAGAGTTACGAAGTACTAGTGGTAGAATCTTTCTCGAAGGTACTACTACAATATATTAAGCATAAGAAACGTGGCTAAGAACTACGCATACGGTCGTATTTTGATATAGTACGATACGTATGTACCGGTACTCCCAGATAGCTCAAACCGCAAGGCGAAACTCCAAGTTACTGCTTGCTGGTCTGGTGGTGGACTACCGCGGTGTTTCACCGAAAAAGAAGAATTCACCTCTGTTTCGTTTCATTTTATTTCATCGTTTCATGGCGAAATTGCCATTGCACGTCCTCGTTTCTTGGATCATACGACGAGTACTAGTGATTCCGTCCCAAACCAATTGGCAGGGTTGCTACTATTGGTACTAGTAGCACTAGTAATGCTACCCGCACCCACACCGAGAACGAGTAGAAGACTATGCTACTAGGAGACTATGCATGTTACGAGAATCATTACACTACAACTACTTCAATCGTGGTGCGTGAGCGGGTGGATTATCACTTACTGTATATCGCYCATTCACTGTTGCCGTAGTACCAGTAGAAGCACCACGGTCACAGTCGATCCTGCGTTGTTTCGTTTCGACTGCTACTAGTACCGTACACTCGTTCGTTCTCGCAARACCATCGCCAAGGCACGAGTGGATTGCTAGTAGAGGTTGTGGATGGAAAGGCGTGCCTGTTAGGGGACCACAACCACGGCTTTTTTTTCTCTCGTCCGGTTCCGCATTCCGCACGGTTGGATCGCCGTTTCGGAAAAAGGCACTACGGGCACCAGACCGCGGCGTTGCCCGTTCACCCACCAAGCATCCCGTCCCGTCCCGTCCGATTCTTTTGCGGCGACCGGCTCGCACGGAACAGAGACCGATCGATGGATTGGTTCGATTTGGTATGGTATGGTTTGGTTCGGCTCGGTTCCTCCCCCAACTGGCTAGAGATCCGGATCGTCGCYGCCGTCGACGCCGTTGTGGTTTCCGCAGTGTCCGGATCCGACCCCGCTGCCCGCTCCGGGCATGGATCCRTGGTAGCGCCGCTGTTGATGTTGCTGGTGTTGCTGCATGGTCTGTTGCTGGTAGTTCCGCTCCTCGATTTCTTCCTCGTTGATGGTTCCAAAGAGGGCCATCATCGCCGCCGCCGACGACGAAGGGTGTTGCCGGCTGCCGTAGGGTTGCGTGGACGCGGGCGTCGATGGGGGGGTCGTGGTCGGCAACCGAACGGACGTTCCCGGCAAGGGAATCCTTGGGGGGGGTCCTCCCTGTCCGACCGAAAAGGTTGCCGGGGCAAAGCGGATCGCGGGGGAGGGAGAGGCCGCGGACCGTGGATTCGACGACTCCCCGTTGCCGTTGCCGTTGCCGTTGTCGTTGCCCTTGTCGTCGTCGTCGTCGTCGTCGTCCATCGCCAGGGCCCGAAAGGAGTTGCGATTGGGGTCGCCGTTGTCGGAAGCGCGATGGTCCCCCCTTCTCCAGAGCGACGAGTCCCCCGCATCGTCCCCGAGGCCGATGCCGATGCCCGGTAGGTTTCCGACCGGAGCCATTGCCACGTGCGTCTTGTGGACGTTGCTGGCAACGGGGGTCATTTCGGCCGCGGACGCCGCCGCYGCTCGGGCCAGGCTGCTGCCGCTGTGGTTGTTGTGGGGGTGGTAGCCGGTGGTGCCAYCGGCAGCCGGGGCCATGATTTGTTCGATTTGGTGCATCGTTTCTTCCATGAGCTGGTTCGTCGATTTGGTGAGGCTGAACGAGGCCGGTTTCATGCCGGCGAGCAGCAGACCGGTGGATTGTGCATGTGCGTGCGCTTGTGGATGCGCTTGTGCGTGTTGCAGMGGGGTCACCGCAGCGGCTTTCGCCTTTCGCCGCCGGTTGCGCTTGGTGAGCCTCGTTCGCGGCCTCGACAGAGACGACACCGACATCTCGGAGGCCCTCGATCGCTCCACGAGGGAGTTCAGTTGGCGCTGGAAGTCGGCCTGCTCGTCGTCGTCGTTTCTGTTGTTCTTGTTATTGTTATTGTTATTGTTCTTGTTAGCGATCTTGTGGTTGCTGTTCTTGGAGTTGCTGCGATTCTCTAGCGGTGCCGTGTTCGGTTTCGGTTTCGGTTTTTCCTTCGGCAGAGAACACACCCGGCGGATGTCGCCGCCACCGCCGCTGCCGTTCGCCAGCGTTCGCTTCTTGGCTCCTCCTCCCACTCTGCCGAGAACCGACGACGACTTCTTTTTCGTTTGCTTCAGCTTTTGCTTGGACGATTTCGATTTGCGTTTCCCCATGGTGCAAGCCAAGCCAAGGCACGCGCAAGCGGTAGGGAGTCCGGTCTAGCCTGCTTTTGTTTTGTTCTGTTCTGTTCTGTTCTGTTTTGTTCTGTTCCGTTGCTGGGTCCGATTCTGCGTTCTGCGTGCACAAAGGAGACAGAGTGGCGGCGTTTCGTTTCGTTTCGTGTCCTGTCGTGTCCTTTCGTTTCGTGTCCTTTCGTTCCTTCGTTCGTGTTGCAACCGAACGAGCCAATCAATAAATCCTGGATCGATCAACCAACACACACTTGTGTTTTATTTCTTTTGTCACTGAACGCTTGGTTGCGATAGTCGATGGGTGTTTCTGTTTCTGTTTCTGTCTCCACCAAGGAAAAGCAGCAGTCAAGTGGAACAACGCACACACACGCACACACACTCTGAACACACACTCTCTCTCTCTCTCTCTCGTCCAACGAAAAGAATCATTTTTTTGATCCGGACTCGGCACGGCACGAACGAGGACGGGGTTCGTACGATGCTCCTACATACGTACGGTACCGTACGAATGCCGTAGTAATTTGCACCAGAAAGAACGACAAAAGTCGCGTTTCTGCGGTCATCGGTGGCTGGGAAGAGCCAGGAATAGTGAATGCGTGACTGAACAGAAACACTAAAGGGGGAGCCCAGACGTTTCGTTCGACAATAATTCGATTTTTTTAAATTCTCCCATCTCCATTTCCCCCCTCCCCCCCTCTCCACACGCAAAAACCATCGTCTAAAAAATATTTCTATTAGAGGTCCTTACTGCTGGAGAGGTAAATTCATTGCTTAGTACTAGTGCTTGAGAATTACCATTAGTGCTTACATCTGGAAAACCTCTAGTACTGGTGGGAATGTTATACTAGTAGTAAGCACTGCGAACTGCTGCGTCACGCCGGTGTGTTTAGGGGTTGTTTTGTTCTTGGTGCTGCTCCTCGTCCCTTCTCGCAGCAGCACCAACAGAACCCTAACAAAGCAAGCTGTCACCTCTTTAGTTCTTCATCAGTATCCAACCAATTGCCGCTCACAAGACAAGTGTTCTAATCCTKACATGAAGGGGAAGAGGATCCGGAAGTTGCGGATCAATCGCATGAGTTGTTTTGGAGGAACAAGAGGAGGTACGGTACAGTACGTACGGTAGTACCGTAGGAGGTTGTCACGCCTTCATTTTGTTTCGTACCTCGTACGGTACATACCTAGGTACAATAGTCAATGGATACTTCTCTCATCTCTCATGTCGATACTCGATAAAAAWWACCAATTAACGCACTTCTATTTGGGATCCATAAATAATAATAAATTATATGTACACTAACAATTCAAAGTACGTACGTACCGTACTGTATTTACATAWAACATTATCTTKYRGCAACATATTTCTTGTCAATTMTATTTCCAAAAAKTGTTTCSATGGTATTCCTCAAGGATGAMGCATGCTCGRCCAATAAGATTTCTTAAATKGCTGGTTTCCATTCAAAGAYAGTCAARGAGATTTTTCAGAGATAKTSGACTAAGTTCATTTCAAGACCATGTGTTYTCGCCCAATGATATTCTGTTKATGGACGCGTTTTGTTTCGGGGGACGATTGACAAGATTCTTGATCTCTGTAGTTKGTTAAACAAMAAMARTTWCTTATRAAGTCTACTTCAAGCCTATCTCCAMAGTGGGATATTCCCGCGRATCGCTCAAGAAAATTGAGAACCGTTGGATTGCTCGCTTAACCGAGGGGAATKTTCTYWCWGGAAAGTTCCGCTTCATGGAAATTTTACATTTCGTGCACTTAACGYTCCCGCTWGTCGCCCAATAAGTTTCCTSGTGATRGGGCAYTAATCAMTATTTTYGTCAGRATMATCACTTGTCACAGACGGCATAWATCAACATTGATTCTATTGATTCTATTYAAAMCACAARAARATTATGAGGCRTGTATTTTCMGAAATAYTTTGCTCATATTTAAGCATGGCCGAAGATGCAATGTCAAGAACATCGTAAACTTTGTAACTACCCAMCGTCAGAACGCATAATTTCTCTTCTCCTCCGCATCYGTTTCTACATACTKWCCTCAGGAGCTCCAAACCAACACTCTCATCCCATTATCGTTACTATTACCGGTGCAACTGMATAGCAAGAATCAGGTTCTCGACCGATATATCACCACCATGGAATCTGAATCTCTCTCCAAAACACCTGCTGCCGACGCAGCATACGCTTACATTCGCAAGTTCAACGACAGCGCAGCCCTCTGCATCGAGATCGAAGAGTATGACAGAGCCATTTCGTCCCTGACCAAGGCCCTCCGGATCGCCCGGTCTGTGATAGAGAAGAAGCAGCAGCTACGGACCGACCAAAGCTCGAAGGACAACGGGAGCGGGTGCGGGTGCCGCCACTGCTCTCTCGATGGGTRCATCCGGTTTTCCGAAGACCGACGCCACATCCATCCCTTGCTGCAAAACAAAAAAGACAACGGCGAACGCGAAGACGCTTTTGCGGACAACCGAAACGAAGCGAGCATCCGTCAGCGATTCTTGTTGCGGAGGCACCGCCGCCGCCAGGGCCGGGGAGAACCGCTTGTCGGAAGCAGCAGCAACAGCAACACCGGTTACAGCAGCAACGCAGGCGGTGACGATCCCAGCTTCTACAGCTGGAACCGAACCAGCGCGTTCTCGGGAACATCGGTATCGCGGGGGATGTCCCTCCGTGCTTTTTCGACCCGAAGAACGTCTGCAATGGACTACGTGAGCGACGTTACTACCCGGGAGTCACGGAGGCGAGGCAACACTARTGCCTTCATGGTATACCAGAAACTGATCCGTGTACCGGCCCCTTCTGTGCACAGAGACTGTGCCATTGGATCCCTGGCCATTACCACTGTATCCCTCGTCACGCTCTTCAACCTTGCCCTAGTGTACCATCTCAAGGCGATCCATGCTGCAGGTACTACCAACCATTCTACCCTACCCGCAATCAACAAGGCTCTACAACTGTACGATGTCACCTATAACGCCCTTGAAAAATACAGGCTGGAGGAGAAGCATCAGCACGAATCCTGCCTGCGCTTCAGGGCAACCCTGTGCAACAACCTAAGCCACGTACACATGCTCGCCGGGGACCACGAGAGTCACGTGGCCTGCCTCCGGGAACTCCTCTCCACCATAATGACCCTTACCGACTACAACGCTAGAAAGAGYACCGATGACACCAGTGGGGAATGCTSCCMGAGCCTAGAGGGATTCCTGGCGAACGCCGCGCCGCTGATTTCGAGTGCCCAATGTGCCAATGCAGCTTGATCGATAGAGTTGCAGAACTTTTGGCCAGAGCTGACCTATAATGTAATACATAGCATATCGAGTCATCAATAAATACCATATTTCTACCGTACTATTCCACCTTTCCTTGCGAATGTCTTCTGTCTTCACTAGTTATAATTTGCGTGATTCGGTAAACGAGTGGCATCGGGTATCATGCAGGTTTCCTGCTACATGTTTTCTATTGAAAGTATGGATGCGAGCTATTTTGCTGGGTTGTAGAAATGGAGACCTCGTTATGCAGGTCCGACGAAACAATTCTGTGCTTAATCAAAGGGTTCCGTATGAAATTGAATCATCGAGTGTTTTGAAGATGAGGTTTCTTTTATAGTTAAAGTATCTTCTGAAACAATAATAATGTAATTAAAAGCATTGCTGTGACCATAATATTTCATTGTGATGCAAAATCCTTTTTGCCAAAACGGTACGGAGTCCTATATACGCAAATCAATCACTTCAGTCACTCTAGAGTGCTGGGATTTGGATTGCATGCAGTGCGGAAACAAACGCAACATTATCTCTGCGTTGCACTGCATATCAAATGGCAATCTAAACTTGCAATTTCGATTCTTCTCATTCGTGGTCTTGCTTTCGTTCATTCGCCGCTCAAGTCAACCAACTGTTGTCTTGTCCATGCCAATCGCGGCCTATCGACGGAACACGAGGTCCAGGTCCATCACGGTCTGCTCCCCAATCGCAGTATAAGTCATCGTCACCATCCCCCCCTTGTATCCGACAAAGTCATCTCCGGTCGCTTCGATGATTAAAACGTTCTTGGTGTTCAAAGTCATCATCACGCTCCCGGTAGCCACCACACTTCCGATGGTGCCCGTCTCTTCATTCAAAATAAAGATTTCGTAGCTGCAAAGTTGTTTTCCGTCCGAGCCGACAATCGAGCAAGTTCCCTGAAGGGCTCCCTCGACGTGTTTTTCAATCAATCCGTTGGTCTTGGCCTTTAGATCGTACACCATTCCGCGAAGACCAGCCGTATCTCCCATGGTCCCAAATTTTGGACCGAATTCATCATAAACCTGAAGAGAACGAAGGCAGAATTTGATGCAAGGATCGTTTAGGTTAGTTTGATATGATGGGCGACGCGATGTGTGCAGCAAGATGACGTGGAAMAGCAAAGTAATGCCAGCAGCTTTCAGATTGCACGTTTGATTGGACAAAGCAACAAATCAAAAACACCAATACTATGCTTTGATGCGATGCGATAMGATAMGATTCTGTACGCACCGAAAAGAATTTCATGGCATCCTGTTCTTGGGTTTTCCTTCGCCTCTGCTGCCCGTTGTTCTGGCCGATGCTCTGTTCGATTCCCAATTCTTTTAGCGTCTTCCCACGGAYATTCTCGTCGATGATGGGGTTTCGAACACGTTCCTCCAGGGCATCAAAGTGCTTTCCCCGCAGCCGAGCAGGGGAKTTTTTTGCATCGACCGACAAAAGTCCGAGGATACAAAAMAGGAAAAGCGTTTTCAAGCCACAGTTGTTCAATGGTATCATGTTGATAGTCGTTTCTATCAGAGTTGATGCAGTAGATACTGGAATTGATGTTGATATGGATATGAAAATGAATGKACTGCAAGAAGATATTATAATGCGTCCATGTGTTTGTTTCTTTTCTCTTTGGACCACGGCAACTATAGCGGCAGTTACAATCTCTAGAAGAAGAAGTAGCAGTCMAGGACACATCAACCAACTCTTCTTGGAATACCGGTAGGAGACAAGCAGGCAGGCGAAGCAAATCGCAGGAGTGGGAGAATACTAGCTGATGCCGAGAAGTAGCCGTTGGCATTTTTTCCGTCCCAATCTTTCCGACGACGGTTGTGTCAAGTGGGATTCAACGAGGCACCTGTGTCACTAACGATGAACCGTTAGAAATACTGMGTTTGAATTTAAACTTCGCTAAGTAARATATGGTACTTAGSGTGCGACACAACGAGAAATTTGCGCGACGCATATCAAAGTCCCAGTTCCTCCCAACTGCCGGTATTCCATACGTACGCTCCTACGGATCGTAAGGATGTGGGTTCACTAAAAATCAAATGAACGAAATTTAAAAAATCATCTGCCTCGGCAGCACAAGAGCTTCAGACCATCGTTCGACGGACCACTCCGGCTATCATCATAGCTACTTACCTTACTGGTTCGCAACACATGACAMAACCAAACGAAATTAAATTGAAATCATATTTATTGTTGTGATTCGTCGAACGTAATTTGAGGACAATCTTGGACACCCAGTCGTCATCGTCAACATAAAGATAAATTCGTTAAAAGAGTCGTCTGTAAATCATGACACAATCGTCTATTTCACTAAGCTTCCTAGTCCTCATCGGATGTGCTTTGTTGGCTGTCAATGCGGAGTTGACCCCATTCTATGACTTTCAAACGACGTATAGCGATAGCAGAACGAAAAGCGACGGAATTAGAAACAAAATCGATACAAATTCCATGGACCCAGAACAAAGGCAGCTTACGAGTCTGAGAGCACGAAACCTGGCCGGCAGATACGGATCAAGAAACGGGGGCAAGCACCACGGTCACAAAGGAGCGGACGACTATTACGAATGCGAAAGTTTCTACTCGAAGAGTCACAAGAAGGATAAGAAATCAAAAAAGGACAAGAAAGAAAAGCACYACAAGCACGATAAGAAAAAGTGCAAGAACGTCACAGGCAAGCCAATCTACGACGATGACGCCGTGGAGAAGCCCAAGCCGCCGCGACCCGACCGACCYTACAAAGACTTCATGCGATTCATTATGGTCAGAGAGGAAGCCGGAAGCCCRGCTGCAGGAGACTTTGGGGTGGGTGACACTCTCGCTCTAAACGGACAAATCTATTATTGGGAGGACTACGACGACAATCTCATGAGCGACGTRCCGGTGGGAACATTTGTCACGCTCTGCACCGGTATTTCCGAAGCGGGCGAYGATCTTATGTGCACCTATGAGATCGTCCTTGGATTGCTGGCCGACCGRACCCGAAACGGAAACCGCAAGAACGGCAATGCTGGGAACACCAAGACTCCCATTCAGAGCGTCGGCGCATTCGTGGCCAATGGACCCAATTACGTATCCGAAAATTATATGATCGTCACGGGAACAGAGTTCGAATTTGCGGGTTACCAGACAGGGACAATGGTCACCACAGAAGATTTGGTCAATCCGTACTTGTACGCCGATTTGTATCTTGCGTAACGACGAATCGAAACGATGAGAAGTCCCTCAGCGAAACGAAGAAAACAGTCTTCTCACCCAACATTTTATACTTGTAAATTATACGTGTGAAATGGTTGTTTTTGTGTCTCTTCAACTATGAATCGTCGAGGAGAAAGCAGCCATACCGAGTAACTAGATCATACAACTAAATACGTGGTAACTGATGCTATTATTTTTTAAGTCTCATCCCCCAGAAATCAAGCGAAAGAATTGAAGCCAAATGCTAGACATCCGAAGCTTTTGAAAGGGTTAGATTCCGAGTGAACTGAATCATGAAAACTAGTAATAGAATTCTCTAGTTTTCTCTAAGAATGATCGGTGGCAACGCGTGGGCTTTGTTCCGTCGTTTGTGTTKGTCTGCACCTTCCGCTGGACGGCCAAGCTCCAAACCAGAGAGATACCCACCTCTTGGCCCTTCCATCCTCGGKTGTGGTAGCTACGCCAGTCCCAGAAGCTTCAGGCGCTCSGCGTTCCTYGCCACGCGCTCGGCCCGGAGCTTTTCGTACTCGCTCATCTCGACCTCGTCCTCGCTGGAATCGTCCCCGCTCTGGTTTCCGGCGCGCTTCTTCCGGTGTAGCCCCCGGGTGTCGAGGACCCCAAAGGGAACCGCAGCCGGGTCCCGGTAGTAGACGTCGTTGGTGAGGATCGAGCCGGCGGACGTGTCGTGGTTGCTGGCCCCGGCGCCCCCGCTGGACATGGGCTCGGTGGCGGTCAGGTGCCCCGAGCGGACCAGGCCGCGGATCACCCAGCGCAGGGCGGGGACGACAAAGGAGGAACGAATTTCCCAGCTCGATCCCTTCTGGTTCCGGGAGGGGAGTACCCGGCCGAGGTAGGGCGGAAATGATCCGCTGGAGTAGACCGCGTGCCCACCCTCGCCGCCCACCAGGTCCTTTTCGTGTTTTTGGTAGAGACCCGCGTAGTAGTCCTCGTGGAGCTTTTCCTGCGCGATTTCCACGTCCAGCCGGGAGGAGGAGGGCTTCGTTTTGGTCTTCTCGACACCGGCATCTCCACTGGCGTGGGCGTGGGCGTGGATCGGGTAGTATTCGAGGCCCTCCGTCTTGGGGACGGAGTCTTTTTTCTTGGCCGACGATCGGCGGGCAGAGGTCGGACGGGACTCTCGCGACGATCGCCTTAGGCCGGAGGTTTCGGCCTCCCCCAGCTGCTTGTGCAGGGCGAGGAGATCCTCCATTTCCCGCGCGTGCTCCCGGTCTTCCTCCGACGCGGCGGGGGGATCTTCCTCTCCATCGGAACCGTTTTGGCTCTCGTTCTCGTTGTCGTTGTCGTTCTCCTCCCCGCCGGCTTTTGCACCTTGTCCCCGGGTGGCGGCGCGGCAGCTCCAGCCGGGGGGCATGGCATAGGTCCCCGCGGCCCTGTTCAGTGGGAGGCCCGAAAAGCGGCCCCGGAGGTCGTTCCCGTCTCGGAGGCAGTTCTGCAGCTTGATCGGGTGTTCCATCGGTCGCGCGGCCGCCTCGTCCTTGCTGCCCTTGGTCCGGGCGGTGGCCCGTTTCCGCTTGCCCCTCCGGGTCGTTCCAAAGTCCTCGTCGTGGTCGGTCTCGTACTCGTACATGTCGACGTCGGAATCCTCGTCGACGTAGAGGCTCCCGCGCTGGTTTCCGTCGCCGCCGGCATTCTTTTTTTCCGCCGCGTAGGCCGCYGCGTCGATCTTTTTGGTGACGCTCTTCTTGAGRGCCGTCGCCGCCACGGCGATCCAGTCGTCGGGGGGGTTGAAGAGTGTGGCGTTGTCAAAGATGAGCTCCACGTCTTTGCGGAAGGGTCCGTTGAGCATGCGGCAGACAAGGCTGTTTCCCACCGACTGGCCCGGTGGAATGCTCGAGTAGGCCCCGTTCTCGAGTTTCTTGGCCATGGTGGAAATGTCCATGGGGTGCTTGACGATGTCGGGGTAGGTAGGGATCCCCAGGGCCACCGGATCGACGGGTTCCATAAAGGGCATGGCCTTGCTCTGGCGCGAGAGCCAGTCGAGGATCGCCTGGCAGGCCTTGTAGGGCTCGGAATCCGCGTGGAAATCCTGGTACTCGATCGAGTACCACCGCGAGGTCCCGTCGGGCTGGCAGACGTAGGASGCATCGTCGGCCCGGACGTCCAGCGTGGCCCAGAAGGGAACCGGAGGACCGGCGGGGGCCGATGCGTTCCCCTCGGCATCGGCTTCGCCGCTGGGCTTGCCCTCGGGCAGGACGAGGATCCGGAACTCCACCCCGGCTTCGTCGTCGCCGCCGTCGCCGCCGTCGTCCTTGTTGGTGCCATCGCCTTCGGCAACGCTGTCGTGCCCGACCACCCGGCAGGAGATCTCCAAAGGGCCGGCGCGTTGGTCCGCGGTTCCTTCGTCGCAACTGCCACCGCCGTCCCCCTCGTCGTCGTCGAGGGCCACCAGGGTGATGCGGTCCCCGATTTCGGTGGCAAAGGGGTGGGAGGTCCAGGAATCCGGGCCGGAGGCGGTGGAGGCCCGCCGGGATGGTTCTTGCTGCCTGCGGAGCTCCGCGGCCCTCGCCCCGGCACTGACCTGTGCCTCGGTCAGGACCAGCGCGTCCGGCGGCTGTTTCTGTTTCTGTTTCGGTGCCTCTGGAACGAGAACGGCCCGGAAGCGCATCCTGCGCTCCATCGCTCCCTCCTCGGCATCCTCCGCGGTGGAGGGGACGGCCTCCGAGAAGTCCTTGATCTGGTACCAGTAGCAGGCGGTGGTTTCGACCCCCAGCGTCGATTCGAGGTCTGGCCGATAGATGGTGGTGCCGATCCAGTCGCTGCCGGAGGTCTTCCATTCGATCGCCGAGGGGTCCTCAAAGTCGGGGGCGTCCATGGTTTCCATGGTCCCGGTCCGCTCGTCCGCGGCGGTGGCGAGGACCGGGATGGGAATGTCCCCGAGCTGGCGGAGGACCAGGCTCCGCAGCGCGAGTTCCGTCCGGTGGAGGCGGGAGAGGTAGTCCAGCAAGTGCTGCTTTTCGCTGTTGCTGTTGCTGTCGCCGTCGCCGTTGCTGTCGCCGTTGCTGTCGCTGTCGCCGTTGCTGTCTTGGTTCTCGTCGCCGTCTTGGTTCCTCCCCGGCGGTTGGCTTCCGTCTCCTTCCGAAGGGTCTTCCCCGCGTTCCCGGAAGCTCAGCAGGGATTTCCCCCTTGCGAGGGACCTGTAGAGATCCCMTTCGGTCTCCCCCGGGGAAACGGCTTTCCTGGCCAGCAGGTTCCTCTTCCATACGAGTTTTCCGAGGGCGATCCGTATCCTCCGGAGCGGATCGGAGGAGTCGTCGGCGACGAGTTTCTGCAGGGMCAGCAGGGTKGGGGCGGAGGAAACCCGGGGGCCTTCCGTGGCCGTTTTGACCAGCCGCAGCAGGGCGTCCGAGAGCTGTTTCTGCGTCATGCTGGACTGGTTCCCGTAAAAGACCGCCCCACCCTCGTAGCCGCTGTTTCCGGAGGAGGCCCCCCGGCTGCGGGTGGACCGCCTCCCGGTCGAAGCTGTTGTGGCGTTGGGCTTGCCTGCCCCGCTCGCCTCGGCGTCCGCCAGCCTCCGGGCCAGGGCCTCGTCGCTCTCGCGTTCCCCGGCCTCGCCGTTGTGGTTGTCGTTGTTGTTGTTGTTGTTGTTGTGGTTGTCGTTGTGGTTGTCGTTGTGGTTGTGGTTGTCGTTGTGGTTGTCCTTGTCGTCGCCGTTGCCACCCTTGTCCTTGCCCTTGTCGCTCTCGAGGGAGGCCCTCTCCTTGATCCACCGCTCCACCTCGGCGTTCCAGGCCGGCCACACCGCGTGACCCTCGTGGATGCCTTTGAAGCGCCATCGGTCGTGCTGCTTGCGGGCCCGGTAGGCGGAAAGGCGGCGGTCGAAGGCCGTGTCGGAGGAGGAGGGAAGCTGGTACGGGTGTTTGTTCCCGTGATGGGTCGGGTGGGTGCTTCTGCCGATCGTGTCCAGCTCGAACTTGCACCGGCCAAAGGCACCGGGGTCGAGCCGCTGGAGTTCCTGGAGGGTTTCCCCGCTGACGCACCGGAGGACGACCTCCGAGTCGTCCAGCTTGTGGTTGTTGTGGTTGTTGCCGTTGCCGTTGTTGTTGTTATTGTTGTTGCCGTAGTCCTGGTCGTGGTCGTCGCAATGGTGCTCCCAGTGCAGGAGGGCCCTGTCGCAGGGCTCCAGGAGTGCCACCGGGAGCGAGTGGGAGGCGGTGGCCCTTAGGTGTTTCGGCTTGTTGTGCCGCTGCCTCAGGAGGACGGCCTCGACGGCGGCCTGCACGTCCTCTCCCGAGAGGGACTTGGGCCGGGAGAGGTATTCCAGGACGGCCTCAACCGGTGGCGCGAGGTAGGGATTGTCCCAGACGACGGCCTGCTCCTCGTCGATTTCCTCTTCGTCTTCGTCCTCTTCCTCTTCGGAAGACCCGTCCTCGTCCTCGTCGTCGTCGTCGTCGGTACCGGGGACGGGGGTGAGCGGCCGCTCCCTGGAAACGCCCTCGAGCCGGTCTTCCTCCTCGTCGTCTTCGTCCTCCCGGGACATTTCAAAGTCCCCGTCGTCGTCGGTTTTGGACGTGGCCTCGTCGTCGGCCGGTCCCATGGCGGCGTCGTAGGATTCCCCGGTGACCATGGCGGTGGAAGAGCGGTCGGGGGATTTGGATTCGGATTCGGAGTTCGATTTCGATTTCGATTTGGAGCTCGATCTCGATTTCGATTTCGGTAATCCGGAAGAAGAAGGGTGCTTCGGATCCCCTCCGTTCTGGGAAAGCGGGGGTGGTGGATCGCGCGCGGTTCCGGAGTCCTCGCTGGAGTCCCGGCTCGAGTCGTTTTCTTCTGGTGGTTCTTGTTGTTCTTGTTCTTGTTCTTGTTCTTCTTGTTGTTCTTCTTGTTCTTGTTCTCCCGGCCGCCGCTCTCTGGCCTGGTGGAACGAGCGGTGTTCCTCGAGGGTGGCCAGCCACCAGAGGGCGATCCTCCCCCCCTTCCGTACCGGGCAGGGCTCGGGGACCCCCGCGGGACCGGAACGGGAGGTCGCCGCCGCAACCACCGATGCCCGGGAGCTGGTCCGGGTGCTGGTCCGGGTGGTAGTCCGCTCCCGGGTCCGCTCCCGGAAGCGGTGCCTCTCGTGTCCGWGTCCGWGTCCGGCTTGGATTGGTTCGGAACCCTTCTCCCCGGGGTTGCCCTCCATCTCCGCCGAAGGGGACTCCCTTCCGTCCCCCCGTGCGAGGAGCTGCCTTGCTTTGGACGAGCGGTCTTCCAGCTCCAGGGCCGCGGCAACGATCGAGTCGTGGTCCGGGTGTAGGTGGTGTAGGTCTTCGTCGTTGTTTTTGTCGTTGGTATGGTGCTGCTGGTGCTGCTTTTGCTGCTGCTGCTGGTGCTGCTGGCGGAGGTAGTCGTGGGCCCACCGGCAGCCGTCCCGGATCCGCTGCGCCAGGACCGCCGGCGTGAGGACCGCCCTCGGGTTCAGGGCTTCCATCCTGCGGGCCAGGGCCTCCTCCGCATCGGCCTCGGCGGAGGGAGCCGCCAGGTAGGAATTGGGATTGGAGGTATAGTAGAGGGGCGGGTGGTGGTAGGCCCCCGCCGCTTCGGTTCCGGCTCGGTTCCGGCTCTTGGTCCTCCTGGTTCCGGTGGCGTCTKGTTCGCCGCTTCCGGTTTCGGTGCTCCTGCGCTCGAGCTCGCTGGCGTGCTGGTGCCTGAGCGAGGCCTGGAGGGCGTCTTCCAGCGCCGCGACGAGGACCAGCGTCGGCAGCAGGTCTCCGGCGGACGATCTGGTGGACGCGGACGTGGACGTGGACGTGGATGCGGTGGTGCTGCTCGCGCCAGCAGCAAAGGACTCGTGCTCAATGTCCCGGAGGACGAGCTTCTGGTAGCGTTTCCGGAGGGTGTCGAGGGCGTGTCCGAGGGAAGGCCCGCAGCGGGCGCCCCTGCTKCCCTGGTAGGCCCGGAAGGGGTTCTGCCCGCTCTCCAGCAGCGCGTCGTGGGAAGAGAGATCGGCCCGGGTCCACTCGTCCTCGAGGAGGATGGTGGTGGTGGTGTTGCTGTTGCTGCTGCTGTTGATGATGTTGCTGCTGCGTTTGTTGCTGGTGCCAATCCGCTCCCTCGGATCCATCCAGCGCACCCTCCAGCGCTCCGGGATCCGCCCCTCTCGGGCCTCCGGGCCCTCGATCCTTCCGTGGACCGGGTAGAGCTGCCCGCTCGAGGGGAGGTGCTTGTTCTGCTCCACCAGCCGGCCGGCGTCGAGGGCGTCGAGGTCCCGCTGCGGTTGCGGCTGCGGCTGTGCTTGTGCTTGTGCCTGGTTCCGTCCTTGCCCAAAAGCAGAAGAAGCAGCGGCAGAAGAAGAAGAAGCGGCCCTCCGGGACGGCTCCGAAGCGGCGGCCATGGCTTCCATCGCGGCGAGGCGGGAACGCCTAGGGCGGCGGCTGCTCCGTGAGGGGGAATCCTCTGCTTCTGCTTCTGCTGTTGCTGTTGCTTCTGGTGTTTCTGTTGCTGTTGCTTCTGCTGTTGCTTCTGCTGTTTCTGTTGCTGTTGCTTCTTCTTCCTCTGTTCTTGGTTCTGCTGTTGCTTCTTCTTCTAGTGTTGCTGTTGCTGTTGCTGTTGCTGTTGCTTCTGCTTCTGCTTCGTTCTGGTGTTGTTTTTCGTCGTTCGTTCCACCGGCATTGGAGCCGTCCTTCGAGGTTTTCTTTGCGGCTGAGGTTGAAGTTGCCTTTGCACCTCCGTTTGCGGTGGCAGCCGCTTCGTTCTTCGCGTCCGCAATTCCCGCATCGGAAATTCCCGTGCTGCCCCGGTTCGCCGCCGGTGCCGCTTCTGCTTCCGCATCTGCTGGCACTGGCACTGGTACTGGCACTGGCACTTCTGCGGTGGGCTCCGGGCTCGGGTGGCCTCCCGTGCCGTGCTCCTCCATTGCTTCCTGGGTTTGCTCTCCGTCGGTCCGAACGCGATCCTCCTCCTTGTCGTACGGTGCGATGCGATGAAGATGCGGATGCGATGAAGATGCGGATGCGGGTACCAAGTGCCCGTACCCGTACCGTAGGATGGAGGATGCGTGCGACACGGATAGCGAGCGTAGCTCGCACGATTGTCGTATCGTACGGTAGGGTGTCGTGCGGTACGGTACCTGTAACGTACGATGCCAATGGACCGGATCGAACGGAACCCAACCCGGCTCCGCTTTCATCTCCCCGCGGCTGGTGTCATTCCCGCCTTGGCTCGGCTGGATCTGCATCATCATCCACGCCACAGGACAGAACTCCTACCGTACGGTACCAACCGTACGAGTTTCTACGAGTGCTGGTACGTACTCGTACCGGTACTACGAGTGAGTACTAGTTAGTTGCCGCAACTCGATACAGACAGTACGTACCAGTACCTGTACGTACCGGTACTGGTAAGGTAGTACCGGTACGAACTAGTACTAGTAGTACTCGACAGTCGTATCGTACGGCCCTACAAAGCGACTCAGGGTTGAAACCGAAAAGCACATTGGGTCATTCCCGATAAAATTTACACAACCACTGAATGTGATTCCCGAAAACATACCGGAAAATATGTTATCGGGAATGACCCATTACTGTATTGAAAGTACGTACAAAGTACATACAAGTAGTAAGTTACATCGAAACTATGTACTACATAACTGTAGTTCGTAGTTCCCCAACTTCCGACCCCTGCGTCGCGTGAAGCACGTTGCCCTCCATCCATTCCCAAACGGGGGTCATACAGTAAGTCACAAACCAATAAGTACGAGTACGTACAAGCGGTATGGTACAGTACGTACGTGTGTACGAATATTCAGTATTCTCAGTGCTTGTGACTTTTGACTTTTSTTGTCTTGTGACTACTCCTGTGAGGCAGTATCGTAGGAAACAAGAAACAAAAAAATACAGTCATTCTTCTGTACGAAGTCCGTAGTAATAAATTGTACCGTACGTACCGTACGGTTGGAGTACATGCCATAAGTGGGTCCTTTTCCCCTACTACCAACAGTAGTACTACTAGTACTAGTAGTACTAGTACTAGTACTAGTACATAATTGTTTCGTCTGATGAGGATGTTGTGGTGCTCTGTCAAGACATCATAAATCTTCATCAATACCAACAATCAAGTGATTCATGTACTCTGAGTTATCACTCACCAACTCATCTTTAGATGCAGCAGGATTTCAATTCTTCTTCTTCTTCTTGTTCTTGTTCTTCTTGTTCTTCTTCTTCTTCTTCTTCTTGCTGTCTTTTCTTTTTGTCCTTGTTTGCTCTCGTCAGCACCATGACATCATACCTGGCCCACCAGCATGAGAAAAAAACACACTTTTACAAACAGAAAAATTTCTTTCAACAAAAGCAATATGAAGGGTGATATTGCCTCAGTAGAAAACAACTGCTACTACTAGTAGTACTACTASTAGTAGTAGTAGKATCATCAACACCACCAAACAACAGAACAATCTCATCCTTTTCTCATCTGGAAGGTAACATTTTAGAGACAACCACAAGAAACAACCTGCTAGCTAGTACTACTAGTACTATGTAGTAGTAAGAAGAAGAGCTACTACAGCAACAGCAGGAATTAACCAAGACCACCATTATGGCCATATCATGCAGCAAATTGCATTGTTGCAATTACAAGAACTACTAGTACTAGTAGTAACAATACTAAATTATGCTGTGTGGTTCAATTGGCAGCTGCACCTCTTTTTCTCATCTAGAAAGTGGTAATTTAGAGATGCCAGCAACAAGTAACAACAAGTTAGGAGGAGTTACCACCAGAAGATTTGCTCTACAGATATGTCTACTAGCTAGTAGTAGTAGTAATAATTTTTAATAGTGCTACTTGGATCTAGTCGTAACAGCAGCAGCACATTTTGTTCCTAATGAAAAGATGACTCCTCCTTCTAATGCAGAAGAATGATAATTACTAAGATGCAAGAACAAGCCAGTAGCTTGTAGTAACTACAAAGAGGAGGAGCTACCAGCAGCACTTCTGGCACCAGTTTATCACCATGTGCTTGTGTTATATGGGAAGAACTAATATCACTACTAATACTAATACTAATACTAATACTAATACTAATACTAATACTAATACTAATAC